ATATGTGTATGTATTTACATCAATATGTTTTAAAAAATAAAATAGAATTTGCTAATATTAAGTGATAATATTAGGATTAGTGTGAACAACTAGTTTACATGGTAGGCTAACAGTGCCTTGGTTAAAGAGCCTGTTGCTGTTTATTTATAGCTTTGAATTCTTTAAAACCAATATTATCTTCTTAAACTTGTATGGTAGTCAGGAGCATCACTTTCTAATGTTTATTGATATATTTAGAGGGAGGGGATCTAAAGTAATGCTTTAAAATTCAGATTAGATTAATGTCTACCATTTTCTTAAATTCATGGTAGTTTCAGTAATCCCATGGTAATTGAGGACACAAGTTATCTAAATGACTAATGTCATCTTTATGGCTTTCAGAAAGGACAGGAGACCGACAGGTGACTATCAAAGGACTAGCAGCAGCAGCATGATGATGATGTTAAATGTGTTTTAGGAACATCCATTGCAAATGCATGGAATTCAATAAACATTGAATAGCATATCATGCAGTTTGTCTGTGCCTTTTCCTCCGTGTTGTCCTGGTTTGCTGTGCTGCCTCCCAGTCGGCACCATGGTTTGCTGTGCTGCCTGGGGATGCTCAAATCGCTCCGAGAAAGGAGTACGAATGTACGGCTTCCCCACTGACACAGAGCGGAGGAAAAAATGGCTGGCTCAAGTCAGCAGGAGCAATTTCACGACCAACAGCAAAAAAATATGTGAGGTAATTATATACAAACACTGCATTTGCACTTTTTCACAAAACGAAAACCACACCATTGGGAAAGCTTAATGTTTTGTTTAATACAACAAAACAGGGAAAGGCATGAACAACACAGAGTTGAGACTCAGGGTGCAGGGTGAGGGTCTCAGTGCAGGTATTCAGGCTCCATTGAATCCCCCTCTGGTTCTTGTGCTGAAAGAGGGATAAACAGACAGGAGAAAGGGTTATACACACCTATATAGCACACCTATTGGATGGGAAATTGCCTTGGGGAGATAAGGTGTGGTCTTTGTTCCCAACTGAAGTTATGGAACTTTATTATTTGTGAATTTAATAAAGTATGACAAATGGCATCAGTAACAGATGTGATATGAATTTCTATAAAGTTGTCTCACATTCTTGGTCATATTTTATATACAGTATGTAATGAGTATAACATGTCCAGTAAGTATAAAGTGTTTCCTAATACTGTGTATTCAACCACTATGGAATATGTATGTGGGCAGACAAGATTCAGACACAGTAGTTCTGTGTGTGAAGTAACCTCAAGTCACTCCGCAGGCACATTTTGATGCAGACCAGTTTGTCAAGACAAAAAAGGGCAAGACTAGGCTGAGAGCAGAGGCTATACCCATCATCTTCGTGCATCGCCCTGTGGTCAAAAAGAGAAGGGCCCCTGCACCACGATTCACCCCGGGACCTGTATCTACAAAGCCCATAGCTCATGATCACAGCTATAGTGTGAAAGGTGACACAGGTATAATAAGTATGAACTCTTAGTAACAAAAGTAATATTTCTTATTTTTAAGTGGTATAATATTTTAAATGTTCGAACATTTACAGTGCCATGTCTTCTACTTACATTAGTCTCAAAGATTGAGGGAAGAAGGGATGAGGAGACTGAGAGAAAGGAAAGTGAGGGTGAAGAAAGAGAGGACATGGCTAGTGAGGAGAGACAGGGAGGGCGGACACCACCCACTCAGCCAGCAGCCAGTCAGCATACGAGGGAACCAGCAGCCAGTCAGCATACGAGGGAACCAGCAGTCATTCAAACAGATCTATTACAACAATTAAAGAGCCAAGAAGGAATCACCAAAAAAGCAAAGGCTGCACTAAGAAAAATCAGGAAGGAAAATGCAGCTCTCAAGAAAACAATGAAAATTAGGGACAAGAAATATAAGAAAACGTTTTCAAAAGACCAACTGAAGGCATTAGGCAGACTCACCACAAAGGGGATGAAATGGAGCAATGAGACAATTAAGAAGGCTTTAAAAATTCGCTTTGCGAGCGGACCAACGGGTTACAAAACTCTGCAGGAATTGAAGATTCCCCTTCCAGGAATAAGGACACTGCAAAGAAGGATGCAATGTGTTAAGGTTGAGCCTGGTGTGTTGACAGAGGTCTTTGATTTCCTAAAATTGAAGGCAGATAAATTGACAGACCTTGAAAGGGAGTGTGTGTTGACCTTGGATGAAATGGCAATCACATCAAGTGTGGAGTTAGACATGATTACAGGCAAACTGTACGGTGATGTGACTTTACCAGGTCACACAGGGGTGGCAACACATGCTTGTGTGTTTATGTTGGCTGGAAACACAACACGGTGGAAGCAAGTAGTGGCATATCATTACACTGGCAATTCTACCAATGGAGCAGAGTACAGGCCAATCATTATTGAGATAATACAGAGGGCAGCATCCATAGGGCTACATGTGCTTGATGTCACCACCGACATGGGTAGCCCTAACCGAGCCATGTGGAAATCCTTTGGGGTGGACCAAAATAAAACATCGGTGCCACATCCAGCAAAACCAGACAGGCAGCTCTATTTCATGCCCGATGTCCCACATCTGGTAAATTTTTTAAAAAGTGCCCTTGTCCGTGGGCAGGTCTTCATAATTCCTGAGGATGTTGTTAACAGAGAGCACCTCCCCTCTAACGAGGTTTCTGTGGTCCCCATTAAGGACTTATTGACCTTTCAGGAAGGGATGGCCTTAAAAATAGCTCCCCATCTTTCAGCTGCAGCCATCGAGCCAAGTCACTTTGATATGATGAAGGTTGGTCTTGCTCTAAATGTGTTCAGCAAGGCTACAAGTGCTGGGCTGAAATACATGGTGCAGCAAGAAAACCGCCCTCTGTCATACCTGACGACAGCGTGGTTCCTGGAGCAGGTTGATCGTTGGTTTGATCTGATGTCATCTCGCCATCCAATTACAGCCCTGAGCAGGCTCAAGATGGAGGAGTACCAAAAGGCCATCACCTTCCTCCAGAACATCGTCCATCTGTTTCGTGAGATAAAGATAGGTCACAAGGGAGGTTGGAAGCCTGTTCAAACAGGGGTGATAATGGCAACAACATCAATTTTGGCCATACAAGAGGAGATGCTTACACAAGGACACAGGTTTGTGTTAACGTCAAAGTTCACACAAGACTGCCTTGAAAATACATTCAGCTGTGTGAGGTCTAAAAATCCTGTCCCAACTCCAGTGGAATTCCATCATGCACTGAGAATCATATCTGTGGGGCAGTTCCTCACCACCATCAGCTCTGGGAGCTACCAGGAAGACCACAGTAGCTTTTTGGCAGACTTCCTGGACACAGGGGAGCCAAAAATCACTCCATCAGTCAGAGTGGAACAGCTGATGGTGGTGAACAGAGCAGCAGCACCTGACCTCACAAAAACTGAGAAATGTATTCTCTTCCATCTTGCAGGCTACATCGTCCACAAAATCATCAAGTTTGCCAGCATCTGTGAAAAATGCAAAATTGCAACAGAGCACCATGATGAGAGTCCTTCTGGTGACTAACAGCTTGTTAGTGGACTTGAAAGACTTCAAGGCAGGTGCTCTTTGTCGTCCCTCCCAAGAAGCCTTTGACTTCATTCACCAAATTGAGGAACTATTTAGGACCAAGACTGGTTCCTCCCTCATGCAGCTCCCCAACGCAGTGGGTGTCTTGGAGAAAGAAGCTCAGGCCCTCTCCAGCAGGCTTCCGTCATGCTGTGGAGTACAACAAAAACTCGTAAAAAGATTTATACGGCTGAGGCTGAGAATTGAGGCAAAACAAATCAGAAATGACAGAAAATAAATAAAATTAAAAGATGGCCATTTTGGAAGCAAGAGCCAATCCAAAAAGGTGAAAAGGAACAACAGCAGCCAAGCTACCACATCCAGCAACCCCCAAACAGATCCACAGCTGCAATCATTTCCATTAGCCGTTACAATGGAAATATTTGGACTAAACATTGCTCAGCACCCAGCTAACATCACTGCCCCTCCACCCGTAACATCACTGCCCCTCCACCCGTAACATCAATGCCCCTCCACCTGCCAACATCACTGCCCTCCACCTGCCAGCACCCAGCCAGAGGAGAGCAAACAACAAAAACAAGCAAGGTGTCCTGTCATGTACCTGGAAGTTTGGGTTGGCAAAATGGAGTAAGAGAGGGACTTGAAAAACCTTGGTGGCTCTCTACTCCTGTTGTTACAGTTGTCTTGGTTACAGCTCTCACGTGTTTTTTTGTTGCCATTTCCACATCTTTAGAAAATATGAAATAAAAAATTGAAGTGAAATCAACCTCTTCTCTGGAGAACAAACTTTGATTTCTCTGTCTTGTGAGTTTGCAGTCTTGCTCCTCCACCTGTAACATCACTGCCCCTCCACCTGCCATACAGTAGGTTACTAACAAGATTACTTATATAATACAGTGATAGAATACATGTTTAGTATGCTTACTTATATAAAACAGTAGTATTAAACTTACCTTGTGTTTTCACACTCACTTAAGTCCCTCTCCCTTTGCCATCAATCCAAAATCAGCTGAGCTGCAACATTATACAGGCAGGTAATAATCAACATAATCACAAGGACACAATATGGCTCTGCTAAAAACACTCACTCTTACACGCACCAAAGTTATATTTATCTAATATTTAACTCCCTCCACCCCCGCATACAATCCCGTTTAGAAGCCCCTCTTCTCTAATTCAACAACGTTGGACGAAATTACATTAAGAGAACGGAATTTACAATTAAAAGGCTGTTCAACGTGTGTTGCTAACTTGCTTCGGTATCCTAGCTTGATCTGTTATCTGTAAACGTTATTTAGGGATAATCCACTGACATCCTTTAATACACATGTTAATTTGAATCAGATGTACTGATAATATCCGCAATATAGATCTTTAAACTTCTTCTTACCTTTAAAAGTCCGTCACGAACGGTTATTATGCTGCAACTCTACCGCTCTGCTAGCCTTGGCGCTAACTTCCGGGAAACGAATGAGAGGCTCCACGATCCGCCATTGCTGTAAAAAAGTGGTCCATTGGAGTGAACGGAGATGTCATAACTCTTCTATTATACGGCTCTGGTCTTCAGGTGCTAGTTATGGCGGGTACTGATGCACTTACTACCGTAAGCTTGGCGAAGCGACCAGCAAACCGGCAGCTCCACCTGAAGCCTCGGCGTGCTCCCGAGCTAATAGCTCTAACCACTTTCACACCGCACTAACAACCCCCCCTACGACCTTCAAGGAAGACCGTACTAGACCTAACCGGGACAGATACCACGGTAACTAATGATCTGTGCTCGTAGGCCTACTTGCTGCCATATACTCTCCGTATACTAGAACTGCGAAACACTCACCCCCGCAACGCTACTCCCAAAACAACCAGCCGCACCCAGCGACAACAGCAGCTGCGCGAAATCCGTCCCCACAACGGACATCCAGTTGCACACGCTTCCCAGGTCCAAAGCAACGAGCCCCCATCTGTTACAACCCGGCTCCTGGGCTGCAACAAAAAGCAGGGAGGCGAGACGAGAGGTACGAATATACGTTTATTTGTAACACGTCAACTAAATGAACACCAGCAACAGGTCCTCGAAGCTGGCGTAGAGAGAGAGTGCCCAGAGGAGTGAGGGCCACGTAACCTGCTGGGCTCCTCCTATATTCTGTTTGATTCAGGTGTAGCTCATCCGGCAGGTGCGCCTCATCAGACAGCTGCAGCTGGAACCTGCAATCACACACAAAACACACACACAACCAGACGGCACCCCACGCGGTGTGGAGGGGTCGTCACACTATACATAGAATTAATGCTTCACACTAGTGATGGCAAAATGAAGCTTTGAATGAAGCGTCGAACCACTTGGACAATAGACCTATCGCTAAGCCACGCCCCCTTTGAAAACTCGGACAAACAAAGCCGACCGTGAATGACTGTTGACAATGGCCGCGGGGGGAGTTCAAGTTAAAAATAACATTAAAATAGAAGAAAGAGCTAATAAAAGCAACAGCAGATGAAAGTTAACAGTTAAAAGCAAGAGTAAAAAGGTAGCCATGTATTTCTTTATATCAAATATATAATCTTGTTGCCTGTCGTGTGTAGTGGTGACTGTTGTGTAACCATTGAAATTATAATATGATGTTGAATGTTAGCAGTGGTGGTCACTACATTAAATCTATAACTGTCCTTGTTGGTCATCATTTTCACTGTTATGCACCTGGCTGACTGTAACGTTACCTTTTTTTGGGTGAGGGTCTGTGTCTTTTCGGAGCAGTACACACGAGAGCCCGGATGGGATCTGGATATTCCAGAGTTGGCTTCCCATCTCTGAAGTGCTTTGAGGTGAAAAGACAGTTAGTAAAAGTTAGCTAAAAACACCAGCTAACTAGCGAGGACGAAAAGTCAGATAGCAAACGTTGATGTTGATAACACTGTAGCTAGTTAGCTGGCTAACAAGTTGGCAGCTAACGTTAGCTAGCTGGGCTGGATATACGCTAGCTAGTTGGCAGTCAAAGTCAATCGTTAGCAAACTAATAGTTTGGTCTACGTTTCTAATACATGCCGTCAAATATGATGTCTTTATGAATTGACCTTACCTTTGAGCAAACATAAGTGTCCTTGGTAATTGTCTTCACATTCAGTTGTGTATGTGGTCGACGACACAGCATAATCCACCGCTTTCATTTGTCGAGTTTTGTTTTGGGCTTCGGAAAAGGTACGAAATATACTCCTCCATCCAGTCTTTCAGGGTACCTGGTGTCCGAATTACAGGTACCCCACGCACAGCGTTTCACCATCAGATATTAGCTAGATAATAAACATAGAAACTGAACTCTTCACAGTGGTTTCGATCACAGACGTCTGGTTTTGGTTTGATGCGCCCCACAAACGGCTTTTCTGGTGATGTCCGAGTTTTCTGCCAGGAGGGATTTTCGCTGTGATATGATTGGACAAATTCTATTTGGGGCGTGGTTTAGCGATAGGTCCATTGTGTCGGAAATAGGTTCATTTCTCGAAGCTTCAGTTACAGCGACCTCTCCTGGCGAAGTGCAAGGCTGCAGTGGATTTAACGTATCTTTGCCTTGAAAAATATTCGATGCACACACACACTAAGACTGAATATCATGTTCTATTTGCAATTAAGGCGAGACACCCCAGGTGAATAGGGTAATTTTTTTAACTTAAAGGTATCAGCTAGAAATGTCTCCAGTTAATTACTTACAATAAGGCAATTGTCTTTTGTATTACAAGTTTTCTGAAATAGCATGTTTAAATATGCAAATTACCCATTATCTCATTAAATTGGCACATATTTTAACACATTTCAGGAATCGAAATCTGAACTTTGGATATAGCCAGATTCAAAATGATTGTTTCATTTTGTAGTCATATTAGTATCTAAGGCTTTTACAGAAGGGATATTGGATATCTCTTTTTATCATTCCATAAATCAGAAAATACTGTCAACAGCCCTAAAATATCAATTTTCGCCATGTTTTTAGGTATACAATGTTGTATAATTCAGGCTATGAATTATATATGAACAAACCCTTCTGTAAAAGCCTTCATAATATTGATAGGAATATAACTGGAAGGTTTGGTGTATCTACGTGCTACTGAAGTTGAAATTTCGAACTCAGAGTAGGAGAAAAAACTCATTTTGAGAAAACGACCTTTAAAGATTGCAGTGAGGCGCTAGCTAAACCCTCCTGTTCTCTGGATGACAGCTTGCGCATCAACGCACTCCGTGAAGGTATTTCATGTTCAGGGTCATTTTTTTTTTTATAACCTTGCTTCGTAAAAGTGACAATTGTTGTCGTCTTCTCTGTGAACGTTTTTTTCGCCGTTCTTTTGGCATTTTGAGATTTCAATTTCTAGCTGAAAGCTAACCAGGAAGTGTTTTAGCACACCACGTGACGCATCTGAACGAATCACGTTGTCAGAAATTGACACCAGCCAATGAGATTTCGTTTCTTGGTTTAAGACCCCTTTGTGCTTTCACGATTGGTTGCTGATACAAAGGAAATCACCATATTTGGATCCGATGAGATTGTGCAGGAGAGACGGAGCTTTCCAGCGATACCTCTGTTGACATGGTGCACACAGCGGTCGCGGTACTTTATGTTACGTTAGAATGCTAACTTTTGGTGAATTTAGGAGAAATCTACAGACGCAAATAGACAAACTATAGTAAAATAAACACTTAAATGTGTATTTTGTACGTTTTCCTTTCAAAAGCCTGAAAGAAAACATGTTATGGAATCAAAATAGCACAAAATCTCAAAATTGACCAGTACTTGAAAAACGATGTTTTTGCCTGCCGTGTCTCGCCTTAAAGATTGATAATGGTGTGTATTGGGTTATTGAGAAGAGACTAGAGAGTGCTAGACATGTTTTTGGGCGGAGAGGGCCTTTTATCAGTTATTAAAGTTGAAAAGCAATGATTAAAATACGTCCATTTCGGGATTTGAACCAGCTGCGCGGAGGACATCGCCGCATTTGGGCCGCCAGCTGTACCCACTGGGCTATCTATTCCTTGAAATATTTAACTGTTTTTATATTACTGATAATTGTCTTTTTGTTCACAACTTCTCCACATTTCGAAGTGTTTCCCGAGCCAGAACGACCTATCTTTCTTCCTGGCTTGCTCTATAATGATATCAAATGCAATAACAACAACAACAACTCAACAGCAACAACGCAAACTACGACAACAACCCACATATTGTGCATTGTTTAGAGCGGTCATAAAGTGTTGAAGCACTCAAGTTTGAAACTGTTTCAACCTGTCACCTGTCAGAATCTAGACGAGGCAGTGCATTAAATCGCGTGAATGGACCGTGAACCAGTCAAGTCAGTGATTCATTCAGGAAATGAAGCAGTTGCTGCTTCGGACGTCACATGTCACGTGATTTGAAGCAGTTGCTGCTTCGGACGTCATATGTCACGTGATTTGAAGCAAGCTTCGAAGCACTGCTTCTATGGAATAGGAAGTCCAGGGTTGAAGCTCCGTTCGAAGCTTCAGTGTCAAACTGCCATCACTACTTCACACATTACTCTGTAGTAAAGATAAGTGCTTCCCCAATGATGAATTTCTGTCTGAAGAAACAAGAACAAAGGAGCTAAGTGGTTAAACATTTGGTGAATGCAGAAACAAAAAGTAAAGTATTTTTTTATGCTTGCCAGTGTAGGCATCTCAGTGGTGGTTTCCAATAACTGGAGCCTTCGCCTGTGTTGCAGCCTGCTAATCAATGACATCCTTACAAACTCCATATCCTCACTCTGATTGCTTGCAGACATGTTCTTGTAACACTCTGAAAACTCATCAGCTTTGCTTCCATCAAGCAAACAGCCACACATGTGCGTGGGATCATTTTCAGAATCAGAATACGATGGGGGAAATTGGGTAAAACATATTCAAATAGGGTATGAAGAAATCCTGTTGAGCTGTAATGTGGCAGATAATAGTTTTGTTAAACCTGTGTCTTTGAGCCAAACTGATCCATTTTGTGCTGAATCACCTGGCGTCAGCCTGCTGCAGGCCCACTCTTTAGCACTGGGTGGTAGTAGAGCTCTATTAGAGACTGCTACTAATGCCTCTGATACTATAGCTGCCACATTAAGGGAAGAAAATACACAAGATATATAAATAAAATAGCATAAAGACTTAACTAGGACTAACAGAGAAAATGAGGGTGATACTAAATATATTATTATTGTGCCTGGAAGTATTATGTACATAGCTAATGATAGCCTATAACTAAGGCACATTAGTTCTTACAGTGATTTTTTGGGGGAATTTCACATATTTATACTATGCAGTAAGCTACATATTTATATACCAGTTCAGGTATATTCATTTATATGGTGTAAAATGTTTGAACGACAACAGGAATGTAATAAACAGCTAAACATACAAACAATAATCATAATAATTATATTGAATTATAATATTTACTTATATATTATATTATTTTAAACAACATTATAATTAAAACTTTAATAAAATGAATGCCATAAAAAGGATTCCTGAGTTTGTCCTAGAAAAAACCCCTCAACGTTTAGGTAATTTGGCAATATCTATAGACAAACAAAAAGTAAAATCAGCCGTTATTTAATATCTTTGCAATTTACACTAGTCTGGGATAGTTAAACAACAGCAAGACTATGTGGCTCTTGAATAAAAATATGGTACAACAGAAAGCAATTGGTTGAGAAGAGCCATAAAGCTAGCAATGTAAGTTAGCGAAGTATGCTAGCTAACATTAGTCAAAAACAGCCTATATTTCATATCTGTGCAAATTTCACTATCATCTGTTTGTTTTGTAACTTTAAGTGACAATTTAATTAAAAAACATAAACAGTATTTGCTTTTATATAAGGTAATGAACAGTTTTATCTCCACTGTACATCTGGGTCTCTGATTTGATTTAGTTCCAATAAATCGTAATATTGTAAACTTTTTTTGGAGGGGGGCCACAGGGGGGTTCCTGGTCAGTGTTAGGGGGCACTGGCCCCTGTTGCCCCCCCTAGAACCGCCCCTGCTTAGGAACTATTTATCTGGAAGGAAAATAAAGTCTTGCTTAAGGCACAATTAAGAAAGAATGTTGTTCTCTTAAGGTTTACACTGTATAAGTTAAGAGAAGGCCAGAAAAAGTAGGATGGTGGAGGGATAACAAAAAGGACTTTTAAGGACTTGAGGGAGTGCAGTTTGAGGACTGTTGAGTGGAAGATGGTCATTTTCAAGAGTAGACAAGTTCACAGACAGCTCCTTGAATGGCCTGTCTGTCTAAAGAACTGTAGGATTGAGAGCTAAGTGAAGATGCTTGACAGGTAACAGGCCATCAAGTTAAGCATGAAGTAGAAGCTTTTCCACATCACCAAAATAAAGTATATCATTGTAGAGAGTGCTACTGCTGACTTAGTCTAGATTTATGAGCAAAAGAGTGATCATTTAGGGTAATTCCAAAATGAACATGTTGTTTATCACAAAGGTATAGGACATAGGCACAGTGGAGGAAATTAGTTGTTATTAGCCCCAATGTGTACATTTTATAGAACCGACTGATCCTCAGTAAAGCATCTTTCCAGGGAAGACTGAATTATTACTATAGTCAATAACTGGGGAAGAAATCAACCTCAATACAGTCATTGGTACATGTTCATTTACAAAGCCATGTTGGGTAAACTACCTTTTTATATCTGCTCTCTGATCTCTCGACGAATTGAAAGTACATATTGCCTGAGATCTCATGATGTTGTTTTATTAAATGTGCCAAGTGCTAGGACTGTCTTAGGGAAGAAAGCTTTTAGTTGTGCAGCTCCACTAAATTGGAACAGTCTGCAAACATGTTTCAAACTGAGCACTTTGGTTCCCCTGCATCATTTTAAAACTCAGCTGGCTGACATGCTGTTTGATATTCATGGTACCTGTCTCTGTAAATAGAGTTTGTAAACTGTACCCTGCACATTATGTTGTATGTCATCCTTATTGTTGTTCTGTTGTTTTTATGTTACATGTGTAACTAATGTCCTGCAGGTCACCCTTGAAAAAGAGATCTTTTGATCTCAAGGGGCTTTCACCTGGTTAAATAAAGGCTACAAACAAGACCACTAGATTTGTGTTGAGGATCAGAGTGCTATCAGGTGTAGATGCCAGAAGAAATACTGGAGGATATTCATTTCATATGCCACGTATAAGAGGACAGCTTGGAGATAGAACTGCATCTACTATGTGGAAGCAGAAACAAAACAGTTGATCAAATTATGAAATCAGACTGAAGTCACACATTTTATGAGTTAAGAGTCTACAGTAAAATGACTCGACAAGGATTTTTACAGCAAAGACTCATGACTTCACTTGGACTTGAGCCATGTGACTTGAACATACTTTATACATTTCCCCAAGCCCAAAGACAAATACAAGTATGT